GCGCAACCCCACCAAGCACTCCGCACTACTTTTACTTCATAACGGACCTCTGTATGTTTCTGTGTTAAACGGAATTCCTTGTTATTAGACATTTTCGATGCTCAATAAGTTGTTTACGTTAAAAATTGCCCCAATTCCTTGCTGTCCAGCGTAACTGGTCCACCGCCAACAGTTTGCAGGATGGAATCAGCATGTGGCCGGTCGCACGCCGCAAGTCGACCGCTGCATGTGCTTCTTCTCTAGCATTGGTATCGTTGTACGCAAAGAAGCTAACGTTTGCCATTTAAGTCTAACGAGTTTCACGCACTTCCCACTGTGTACGAGTAGCGAGTGGCGAGTTCATTGCTGGCAAGGCTTTCGTGGACACATATGAGAATATCTGATCGATATGTTGATTGGCTGCGACGTCGCTGGCTAACCGTACAACACATGCATTTGCATAACATATTTGGATTTTAGTAAGTKTTTATATGTGTATTTGACATTTACAGATGTATGGGTGTTTGTAGTTACTAGCTCTTAATGTGGCTGCCAGCGGGAGCTGGATAGAAGTGAAGTTTTAATGAGACGCAATAAATTTAAGTAATTACTGTTAGAGAAATGCAATGCGATATTAACTCATCGCCATCGCCAGATACGTTTTTTGCTAATAAATTTCACTTGAAGTTATCTAAAAATTTAAAAAAAAAAAAAAAAATCAGATATACTCTCAGAGCTGGGGTGTATTCATCTATTCGAACAATATGACCAATCCAACGTAGCCGCTGTCTTTTAATTCGCTGAACTATGTCAATGTCGCCATAWATCTCGTACAGCTCATCGTTCCATCGACTGCAGTATTCGACGTTGCCAATGCGCAAAGGACAATACTCTCGAAAACTCGAAAACGACTCATCAGATGTGGTCATCGTMCACGTCTCTGCAAAATATAACCGGACGGGGATGATGACTAATTTGAGAGAGAACTACGTTGGATTTCGAAGGTGAGGTGAGGTTGTTGTTGTTGTTATTGATAATGCTGCAATCCCAAAAAATTCCTTACAAAAAGAAGAGTTGTGTCTATAATAGTCTAGCAAGCGATCGCAACTACCACCGATCCACAAAATTGTTCACTTTCAGCCAAAACTTAACTTCACAAGTAAAGCCACCCTTTAACTGCAAGGACCCACATTTACAACATAAACAAAATCGATTCCCTTCAATGACTGCATCATCAGCACACATTTTACTGCATTTAAATTGAATTCCAACAACTGATTTGTGRCATAAATCACACGAGTTACGCCCACACGCCTACTGCATGTAGTACCGTACACGGTACCGTTGCATTCGCGAAAAAAGACCACAGTGCCCGCATAATTGTGGGACATTGAAATGCAATCACAATGAGGACAATGCGTTGCCAGCATTTACCCTCGCATGAGAAAGGCAGATTTGCTGTAGATAGAAATGACATTGCTGCCGAATTGACAATTTGAGCTACAGACAAAAGGTTAGAAATGCGTACGCGTATACGTTGGTATAAACGTATCCATTTCCAGTAGTAATTGCTTTTGTAGAACAGTCAGTAAGGCTGGGCACAAAGTAAACCGAAACGCAAGGAAAATCATAAAGTTCTACGGAATTAGAGAAATTTAGTAATACTGCTTTCCAGCTTGATTTCTTTACTTGTGTTCGATCGGTAAGAATCATTAGAATATCAGAATATGTATAGACTTACGTCATTCAATATTGTCCTTAAGATAGTATAGAATTTTCAAATATTCGATTTTCTTGGCTCACAGTACCCTTTACTGTCCCATTAGCAATGTCGTTTGGCTCAATCACCATAAAACTCTAAACGGTCGTTCCATACGGAGAGGGGTGCCATAAGTGTAGGGTTAGCTGAACATGCAAAGGCATGGTTGGAGTCATGCGGGAACTCGCTKCATGCTGAAGATATATTGTTTGTCAAAAAAGTCTTGCGGTATTTTCGCAAGTTGGCGCTGAGAGCGCGTAGTTCTACTTTTATTCGTCTCATGGGGTCATGCTATACCTTTTTGGAAAGGTATTTCACGCGCTAAYACGTGTTTGATTGATTGTTGTTTCTTTTAAGTTGTCCGTGTGTTATAGCGTCGCAAACATGGAGCAAAATAAAGAGAAAATACGGCAAAAATGCATCTCAAGCCGCCAATAATATTTGTGCAGTTTATGGACTCGATACAGTTTCCATTTCCACCGCACAACGATGGATTAAACGTTTTCGTTCTGGTGTAGAGGTGGTTGAAGATGCGCCACACTCCGAAAGGCCTACCGTCGGAAATTGCGATAAAATCGCTGAATTGGTCGAAAGAGACCGGCACATCCATAGTAGCAGCCGTAGCATCGGTCAAGAGCTGGGGATGAGTCATCAAAAAAAAATTTATGAACAATTGAAAATTCAATAAAAATAAAGCAAGAAATACCGCAAGACTTTTTTGACAAACTAATATATTGGATATATCGGGGGTCGATTCTAGATAAGTAGGAGTTTGACCTGCTACAGTATCGACTCGAGCTCGTCACCTGCAATGGTAGGTGATTTGACTACAAGTATGACATGCGCTGACGCATATGTCTCCACTGTGAATGGCGCATGTCTGAAGTTAAATGCGTCGGAAGTCTGGTCGGCGTATTGTCCTCGGTTAACGACGTAGTTGAGGAAAGACCTCTTGATGCTTCTGGGAGGCTATTCCACCTCAATCAAGTGACTGCAAATATGGTTTCTACAAAAACACCTCTACCTCTAGATAAGTTCAATATTCTCCTTAACTGGGAGCATAAAATCCTCAAAGTGTAGATGTTTGATTTGAGTAATTAAAAGGCAGCCCCTTATAGTGCGGAGTGCAGTGTTTCGGTATATCTAAAGCTTTCTCGTCTGCATTTCATTGCATTCAGGCGACAACACTGATGTGCCGAAACTAAGGCCCAGCCAGCCGATTGCCCTGTATGTTGCTTTTTCCCATGTGCTGCCACCTAGCGAAGTAATGATTTGGTTGCGGCTCTGTACTTTGGCAACATGGCGGTCGAGTGTGAAGTAAATCGAGTATCGAGTTTCACAGCAAAAATCTAGTGGTTTTTAGCGCCATCGACTAAAATATTAAAGCTAAATCTTTACTTCTTCGACCAGTTTGTGTATTTGGTCGTTGTAAATTGAGTAGGAGAGAGTGTTAGGTTCCATCCAATGAGGAAATGTGAAATGACGGCAAGATAGCCGTTTACTTTTGAGCCCGTGTCTTCGATGCCATTGCCTGACGCCATTATCGTCTAAGTATCAGCGTGATAGAAATTTCTGTTGGTTGTTGAGGGAGTTTCGAAATGTAGAAGTTGAAAGACAACGCGGAGAGGACACCACTCCACGGAGCACCTGTTAAATGCTTCTCAATTTGGAATTTGAAATGTTTACCACAAAACAGTACAGATGTTTGCTGACCGTTCAGATAGTTTACAGTTCACCTCTTTAACCCTGGAGGGAGAATAGATTTTTCCATGTACTCAAGTAGCATTATGTGGTTGACTGTATCCAAGGCTTTTGACAAGTGCAACGCTACGAGGATCGTCCTCCCGCAGAGTGGTGTTTCATTGAGACCATGAACTATATGGGCGTTAACGAAGCTAAGTAATGAAAGTTTGCTAAACTCAACTGGTGAGTGAAAGTCGGGAGTAACAAGGCAGCAGGTGTTCTAACTCATGGAGAAAGGGAATTATCCGGCAATAGGATCCCCTTTTTTGGCGGGTTTCCCAGCTTTTAATAGTGGGACCACTCATCGCGTATTTGAAGAGTGGTCAGCAAGACAGATTGGGGACCTTGGTAAGGAAGCTTACTCCCGTCAAATACTTTAGCATCAGTATATTTTTATTTCATCACTGCCAATGGATTTGGACATTACACACGCTTCCTCGATTCTACCAAAAAAGTCTAGTAGCAACGCTGATGCCATACGCTTCACTGTGTGCCTAGCTTAARGCAAGTGCAATCACAGCTCCCACCAGGCAAATAATATAATTGACAAAAATCGAGCATGCAACTGATTGCTGAGCTGCAGCCACAACGCACAGTTGTTTGTCATTGGAAGCACATTCGTAGACATGTGTTCACGTTTGTAAACACATATGCGCATTACACGCTTTGACATCTGTCCACACTTGGTCATCTATAGTTTGACAAAGCAAGTCTGCTCTGCACACACCAACTGAACAACATACTGATACCCCTTTTCTCCCGTGTAATAAGACGCGTGTTTGCGTGGAATTTGCATGCAGCAAAACAAGTCGGGAGGCGGAACGAACCATTGCCAGTCAGTCAACCGAATAAACCGAAACAAGTTGGAGGCAGAGCCACTATTGATGCCGCTTTGCCACCGCACCGCGCCGCCGGAGTTACGCGAAAATGGCTGTCATTATTCAGGAGCACGTCAGCAATGTTGCATGCTACACATGCCACACGAATGATTTGCCAGCGAGCAGGCATGGAATGAGCAGCGAAAACTTGCGTAATAATCAAAATGTGTGCATGCAACACAACACTTACACATGTCCACACATAAGTGCACACTTCGGCCATATCAGCATTGTGCATCACTTGATTGTCCATCACAGCAGCAATAGCAGCGGCGTGTTTTGCATGCCACACTACCACTTTTGAGTGCCACAAAGCGTTGATGGTGGCGCGACTACTCTTTCTCAGAAGCAATTTTCAATTTACACGCACACACACATGCGCACGTGTGCCTGACACAAGGCGAAGAATTGTAAATTCTCAAATAAATACTTGACTGCCGACCGCAAAATTATTTAACTTGTCACTTATGTGCCCACACAAAGCTAAACACAGTCAAACACACGCACACGCACACCTTCATTTAATATGTTCCACCAGGCTCTTAGTTGAGCACCACTCTCCATCATCACCATTTAAAATAGTTGTTGTTCTTATATATATATATATTTTTCTTTTTATCTTTCATCTTCTTCACAGGTTCGTTACTGTCACTCATTGACGGATGAGGAACGCAAGGAACTTCGCCTATTCTCCACACAGCGCAAACGTGACGCTCTCGGACGTGGCAATGTCAGACAGCTGATGAGTGCGCGCCCCTGCGATGGTGTAAGTATTGTTTTTCAGCAAATTTTCTAAAATAAAAATAAATATATAAATATTTGTAAGTATAGTACATAAAGTATATAATAGTTATCAGTTGTCTACCGTGCTGTAGTGTCCGACCACTTTTCGCAATGACTGAAGTGCGCTTTGCTTATTCCAAACGGAGTTTTGTGGAAATGATTTAGCAAGGACAACCAAAGTGGTTCTTACGTAATTGATTTTGCTCTAAAAATAATTTAATTTTGTTGAAAAAAGTAATATTTGCTAACGTTCAGCTGAACAGGTTTATAAACTTTGCCACGAAGTTTGTAAATTATACCCAACAGCAAACGTCGGAGTCGCTATAAAATATATACCATATAGTATATAAATGAAATGTTTGTCTGTCTGCATATACACATATACGCGAATTAGTTCCTCGGTTTTTGAGATATTGATAAGAAATTTTCCAAAAGTCGGAGTGCGGAACTTCAATCCGCTGAACCTGACCTACTTCCGAGTAGTTAAGCTCCATTAAGTATTAATTCGTGTATTTAATAAGACATTTAAATATCCTCTATGTCGCGGACTGACGAGGCCTACTTACTCTGTTCTGTTGTCCCAGCTTTCTCTTGATAGAGGCGGCCGCTTCGCTGACAGCTTTCCAGTTCTTAGTGAACTGACGCATGAGTGTCGTAACATTTTCAACCGTAAAACTACCACCGAGTGTAGCTTTTGACTCTCTCTTCTCTTTTGGCTCCTATAGACTGCTCTGATAACTTGTATATGGGCTTGTATTCAACACATTGGATGTCAAGGAGTATCATACTGGCTATTACTTCAGCAGAGTCACTTGATATTGTTCAAAAAGCACTGACAACTCTTAGTGCCGGCAACCCGTGCACAGTGCTTATTTTTCTGGCTTGAATGCTTTAATGCCTCGTGCCTGGATCCATATTCGCTTTGCCTGCATTGTATTCTAGGTGATCCTAATATTTGAGCCTTGAGTCTATTATTACTCCCAGATACTTTAGTWGTGGCTGTAAATAAATCGCAGTCGAATATGGTGAGATATATACTTTTCTTCACTTTTCTAGTACTTATGATCGAAACTTCTGCCTTTTGCTCAGTCAATTTTTCTAGGCAGCGCTACAATCTTGGAACAAATTTTTCAAAACAGACCACTGTACTTAGTAGCTTATACCCTATCAAAATCAAGATGAAGATCTCCCGCGGCTTGAAATTTATTTATATATTTTTTTTTTATTATTATTTTTTTTTTTTTTTTATATAAATTTTAGTTATTTAGACTTTATTATATTATATATTTATATACTTAAATTAAGCCAAAAGTAACTTGAATATAGGTTTATCATTGCAGTTTAATAATTAATCTTCTTCAAAAACACTTTAGTGTACAGTAGATTAGGTTAAGTTAAGTAAGGTAGGATTGAACGGTTGATCTAAAGTCGATGAATCTCACTTGTACAGATTTTCGTTCTAAACGTTACCCATAAAGCTGAATCAACTGATCCTCATAAATCGACCAAGCATTTCAGCATAACACAAATTTTTCAAGACGATTAATTTTAATCAGTTTCTGTCTCAGTCTGGCAAAAGCTGGACAATAACGAGGGAAGTGGCAAGATGATTATACATCGCCTATCATAATATCTAATTCTTGTTTGCCTTCATGTATGATAAGAATGAATAATGTTATCTTTCTGCGAATTCGACATTGAGCGTATTCATTTCGTGCGGCGTTGGAGACTGGCAAGATTTCACTGATATAGATATAAGTTATATCTATGTACCTTATAAATAGTATATAAAAATGATCAGCGTGTCGATTTAACAATGTCTGTCTGTATATACCCGAACTAGCTCCTCAGTTTTTAAGCTATCAGTCTGAAATTTACAGATCCTTTTCTAACCTGGAAGCTACTCATTTGTCGGAACCGCTGATATCAGACAACTAGAGCATATATTTGCCATACAAACTGACCGATCCAAAACTTTTTTTTTTTTTTTGCAAGGTAGCTTAATGAAATTCGGCATAGCTTATTTTCAAAATCAAAGCTACAATATTCAAATTAATTGTTCAGATCAGGCCATATAGCATAGAGCTGCCATACACACTGAAAGATGAAAATCCAGTTCGTGTTTAGGTTTGTTGAAATACTCAACTTTTCGTTAAATTTTCATTCGAGTTAAAGTCATCTACTGGTAGATCACTAAATTTCTCATACTTTTCGAAGATTCTCAACTAAGATTAGTTCAAACTCCTTTTGCGCTTCATTAAAGTAAAGTTGAATATATTTATATGAAGTATGCTGGTGCTTATGCCATTTCCAGCATCGCGCCAAATGCAATTAGCCAAATTCAATAAAATAACATACTCAGCACTCCTCGAGTGCGTAGTTATTTACAAAAGAATCTACATATGCCATACATATAGTATATGTGCATATATGTATATAATATAGCTGATTGTGCTAGTGCATAGTAATTGTATGCAGCATCGCATCGGCAGAAACTGTCAATTTGACTGTCACTGACATTGGCATTGACACAGGACAACACTGCACCGTCGTGTCACTGTCACTTAACCGGCGACGAAACGTGTTGAAGCCACACTAATCAAACAAGCAACTTAACTCAATGGCACTAACAAGTGAGCAAACACAAACGCACTCAAGCGCGCACTAAAAGTTGCGTGCGAGTGGAAATTATCAATATGAGTGTGTATGTGTGTGTATGTAAGAAAATCATTTGATATTGCATAACAGACTTAATGCGATTTCCCTTATGGGTATGCATGTGTATGGGCGTATTTTCAGATTTGTCTAGCGATTATTGTGCAACTCAAGTAAATTAAATATTTATGTATATAAATATATGTACAATCTCAGTATAGATTAGTGTATAATATTAAAAATATTCCATAATGAAAATGAAATTAAAACCAAGCTAAAGCAATTTCTCACTAATTCGCTTTCCTTTCTTAAAGTCGCGTTCATTTATGCTTTCATCAGTAGCATTTCTATTATTTAAAATTCACTGCATTTATCATATTTCCCTCATTTCAGTGTGATGAATTGATTTCCACCGGCGACATTGCWGTATTCGCAACACGCCTGGGGCCGAATGCTTCGTGGCATGCCGGTTGTTTCATTTGCTGCATTTGCCATGAGCTGCTAGTCGATCTCATTTACTTTCATCGCGATGGCCGCCTCTATTGTGGACGTCATCATGCGGAGACATTGAAGCCGCGCTGCTCTGCCTGTGATGAGGTAAGTTTGATATTATTATTAACCTTTATGAGACAATTGCAGAAGGTAACAACATAACTTTTATTTGTTTGTAAATACACAAATAAATTAAAATATTTACTAAAGTTACTAATTGAACTTTACATAATTGCTATCTTCTATTGGTCATTCTCTAATCGCAAGATTTGCACACTGTCCCCTTACATATGGTTTTTAAAAATAAATAAATGCATATAAGTTAAACTTAGCTTTATTATAACGATAAGTTTTAGCCGAGCAAGAGACCGCCGTGGCTTCTTCTTCTTAATTAATGTAATGCGCTAGTCGTTCTGCCTTTTCGCTGTTTGACGCCATTTGGATAGCGTAGCCAGATCATTCTCCACCTGGTACTTCCAACGGAATGGAAGTCTTTCTCTTCCTCTACCCCCCACGGTGGATACTGCGCCGAAAACTGTTCAGAGCTGCTGTATTTTCACACATTCGAAGAATATGACCTATCCACCGAAGCCGCTGTCGCTTAATTCGCTGAACTATGTCAATGTCGTCATTCCATCGACTGAGGTATTCGCCGCTGATAAGGCACAAAACACCATAAAACTTCCGCAGAACTTTTCTTTCAAAACTCGTAACGCCGACTCATCACATGCTGTCATCGTCCATGCCTCTGCCCCAAATAGCAGGACGTGGATGATGACTGACTTGTAAGAGTTTGGTCATTGTTCGTCGAGAGAGGATTTTACTTCTCAATTGCCTACTTAGTCCGAAGTAGCATCTGTTGGATTTCAAGACTGACATTCTTGTTGGTGTTAATGCTGGCTTCAAGATAGATGATATTGATATTATCTACGACTTCGCAGTTATGACTGTTAACAGTAACGTGGGTGCCTAGTCGCGATGAGAGGAGATATTTCGTTTTGCCGTCGTTCACCACCAGACCCATTTGCTTCGCTCCTTATCCATTCTGGAGAAAGCAGAACTAACGGCGCGGTTGTTAAGGCCAATGATGTCAATATCATCAGCCTCATCGCATGCCTGCAGCTGTACAATCTTATAGAAAATAGTACCTCCTCGGTTTACTTTTGCAGCTCGAATTATTTTCTCCAAATGTTGAAGTATGTTGAAAAAGTCTCACGAAATGGAGTCCTCTTGTCTGAAACCACGTTTGGTATTGAACAGTTCGGAGGAGTCCTTCCCGATCCTGATGTAGCTTTTGGTTGTTGATTTTCCATGCTTATCCCACGGTAGTTGGCGCAGTTTTTTCGATCTCCCATTTTGTAAATTAGACAGAGCACACTGAAATTTCAAGCGTCGAGCATACTTTCATCGAATATTCTGTAAAGAAGCTGATGAATCCTCCTTATCAGTTCTTCGCTGCCGTATTTTAATAGCTCGGTCGGCTCCATCATCATCGATTGGAGAATCGATTGCAACTTATCCTGATGTTAAGCTTTCACTCTCATTCAGCTGGTTAGAGAAGTGTTCCCGCCATAGTTGGATGGATTTGTATTATTCAGTCACAAAAAATTCCTTAATCAGGGCAATACAGCGTTCCTTTTTGTAACGGCGTTTCAACAATAATTTGTGGCCTATCATCAACAATTTTTTTCCGGAAAAAGTCTATTCGTTGTGAAATGGCACTTCAAACTGAATATAAATCAGATAACTGCTATCAAAAATACCAATTCCGAAAAAAGGATTGAAAAACACAGGTCTAAAAACACCCGTTAGTTTACTAGCAGTTGGTTTATGGGAAAATGCAATATGAGGTCAGTTAAAGGGTTTCTAGTCTTTATGTATTTTGTTCTTCTTAATTCAATATTTAGTTGTAAAATTCACGAAATGTGTATAATACCTATTCACCACATTCCTACAATGAAGTTGTCATTGTGAGCAAACTCTATTCCAAAGGCAAATCAAGTGAATTTCCACCCAAAAAACAACATATTCTTAAATTTTAAGTTATTGAACTTTTTCTACCCACAATCTACGCTTTAAGCTGCTTACGAAATCTGCTTTCGAGTGTAAAACCACAAGACATACGACTTTAGTAAACTTCTACGAAGCGTGTGAACTAACAGCAAACACCTTCGCTAATTTTCTACTAACCACTGCGCTCACTTCCAAACGCTCAGCTGCGAGTGTTGCCACGCAGACTCGACTCATATATTTAAAAGCGCATTGCATTCCCCAAAGATGCAGCCCAGCATTTCTAATCAAACTTTCAGTAAAAGTTTTCGAACTGCACCGCTGACTCTTCCCATGAGAACTTTCACTGCACTGTTGTACTTATTGCTCATTTCAGGGTATACTTTACGTCTTCTTTATGTCTGCTTAACAGCTCACTTTTCAACTTTTAAATTTATTTAACATTTCCGTTTCTTTCTTGCTCTGCTTGGCGCAGATAATCCTTGCCGATGAATGCACTGAAGCGGAAGGACGTGCCTGGCATATGAACCACTTCGCGTGTCAGGAGTGCGAGAAGCAGCTGGGCGGTCAACGTTATATAATGCGCGAAGGCAAACCTTATTGTCTGCTCTGCTTCGACGCGATGTTCGCCGAGTACTGTGACTACTGCGGCGAGTCCATTGGTGTGGATCAGGGTCAAATGAGCCACGACGGCCAGCACTGGCATGCGACGGACGAATGTTTCTCTTGCAACACATGTCGCTGTTCGCTTTTGGGACGCGCCTTTTTGCCGCGTCGCGGTTGCATTTATTGTTCGATTGCTTGCAGTAAAGGTGAACCCCCCACACCATCAGATAGCTCAGGTACTGGGATGTACACCACACCGACACCGCCAACGCAACGTGTGCGCCCGCAAACGCGCATACCTAGCAGTCATGCATCCAGTTCACCGCCAATGTCACCAATGCAACAACAACAGCACCAGAATAGCTTCAATCAAGCGATGTATCAGTTGCAGAGCCAACAGATAGCGGCGGGTATAGTTTGTGCGGGTACGGGTAGTGGACCAACCGCCAGCGGTGTGAATGATGATAGTGATAGAGTGGGTGATAGCGCTGCGCCAGTCAGTATTGCAGGCGACGTGACGCTTAGGGATCCAACGAAACAAAGCTACCCAACATCAGACTCTGACGGCGGTGTGGYCAAGGATTTGGAACATGCGATTGGTAGTCGCAGTGCTGGTGATTTTACAGACTTCTCAGGTGGTGCKCCTTCAACATCTTCACAAAATCTATCACCGCTGATCTCACCCGGCGAATACACACATTTGATGCCTCAACCAATGGAGCTGAAATCTGAAGCTGCTTACAACTTCAATGAGATGTCTCTCAACTTAGATGCAGCTTGGCCTAGTAAGCCGCCGCACACTGGCTCACATACATATAATCTACCGCGTCATATGCAACATGTTTCGAAAATGGAAAGCTCTATGACCTCAAGTATGCCCGAACTGACTGGACGACCGGCCACACAGCCACCAACGACTGGCACACACATTACCTCGCAACAATTCGCACAAGACTATGGTGAGCCGATCACTTCACCACTACCCTCCGACATTGGTGAGCTACCCACACCCAATTTGTCGGTGGCTTCGACCGCGCTACCGCCCGAATTGATGGGCTCACCCACAGCTTCCGGCGGTGAGCGTTCAATTACCTCGCCGCAATCTACGCAGTCCGGTCAGCCACCCATACATCCGGTGTCCATACTCAGCGGCGCTTCGTCCTCATCACCAATGAGCGGCGCAACAGGTGAGGTTAAAAAGAAAGGTGTACGCTTCGAAGGTTTACCACCAGACCCACTGCCACGTTCGCGCAGTTATTCCGGCAACGGCGCGGGCACACGCGACCGTGACCGCGATCGGGATCGTGATCGTGATCGTGACCGAGCCCGCGAYCGCGACCGCGACCATGAGAGGAGCAGGAGTAAAGACTGCTGTAGCGGTGAGCGTTCCTCCGACGGCAGCGGTCATCACTCATCGCGCCGCAGACGTCGTCGCAAATCATCGGGTCATCGCAGCAATGGTTACCGCTCGCATTCCACAACGCGCGCCGACACCTACGTAACAACACAACCGCTCTCCTCCTCCTATCAAGGACCACCGTCGGTGTTGCAACGCGCTTCAAACACCAGCAGCGCCTCCGCAGCACAGCCTGTCACGCATTGTGGCGACGACGAATCGGATGATGCCTCGAGCGTTTGTTCAACTTGCTCGTCATCCTCGTCCTCCTCCGAAGACTATATGATGTATCAATTGCCGCAGCGGCGACATTATGGCGGTGTACGCGTCAGCTATGTGCCCAACGATGCGCTCGCCTATGATCGCAAACGAAAGCCGACGGATATGAGTGACAAGGACAAGAACTGTATTATTTCGTGATGCGTTGTTGTAGTGTTGTATGAAGTTGCGAGGCAAGCGCGTATCAGCAGCCATTAAGAGTTGCCAGTCAGCGTAACAGTGGAAATGGGCGGCAGTGCCGCTGGCAATCGAAGCCTATAATATTAAAATAAAAACAAAAAGTACAACAGAATTTAAATGTAAAGCATAATTAAAAAGAGGCAACAATTATTTAAAATTAAATATATGTRCATGGCTTCCAGGCACACTAAATCAAAGCGGCGGCGGCGGGTATCAAAGCGTTGGCACTTACCATCTGACATAATTAATGATTTATAAATTGCTTTAGYGATGAGTTATGTTGAAAGAGGAAATTAAAGTGTAATTGAAAACTTGAAAAACAGAAATTAATAAATGCTACTTCGGAATAAGTGAAGYAGAATAAATTTTGGAGATTAAATTACAATAAAAATTGAAAAAAGAGGAAATAATAAGATTTGAAAATATTAAAAAAAAATATTTAAAATACGCATATATTCACTTGTTTTTAATTTTAATAATAATTAAAAAATAACAAAATCAATAAAAAGACTCAGCTGTTTTAGCATTGTAGAAAAATTAAAATTGGCGTCAAAATATAAAAAAATCTAGTTTTATTAGTTCCGGTTTAGTTTTTTTTCTTTTTGCCTACTTTTATTATTTGTGATTTAAAATAAAATTGCCTCAGCTTTGTTAAAAATTACAATTTTA